TGATCTGGTTGACGATCCAGTCGAAGAGTCTGCCGTAGAGCGCCTTGGCCATGGCGTCCCGCGTGGTGACCGCCTCCTCGTGGCTGTTGTTCCTCAGGATGCTCTCCCCGCGTGTCACCACAGAGTTCAGGGTGAGGACTTCCTCCAGCTCCTCCCGGTCCAAGCCCAGCAGATGCGCCACTGCGGAAAACACTCACGGTCAGAAACGAATCCCTATTAACGTTTCATACTGTTATACCCTGCCCATTCAGACGATTCCTGGCTCATGAACTTCTTAGCGATGCCGTCGTATCACGCTCAAAATATCTGTTTTGAGGTTCAAAGTCTAGGAAATTTGAGATCCCGTACTATCATAATGGGGCGTAATTTCCCTCACCGTCGTTGAGTTTTTCCTTGTTGCTGACGGCCACCTTCTCTGTGTTGTTGTGGCTGTCGTCAGTGGAGCTGAAGGAGATGTCCCCCAGGTGGATGACGGCCGCCAGCAGTCGGCAGAGACAGTGGAACTGGTCTGCCCCGAACCCGAGCATCGTCAGACTCTGACGAATCACCGCCATCGTCTGGACGTTCCGCTGAAAAAAGACGGACATAATGGTTGGAGATGAGGATGACGATAGACTTAAAGTACTTGTGGAAGAAAAGCAGCGAAGTAAGACAGTACGGCCTTGCAAGCCAATAAGGCAAATCCAAAGATCACGATTGTCAAGTACCAGGAGGCCTTACCGATGCCGCTCTGTTGTTGCTGACGTTGTTGCTGATGTAGCGGTGGGCGTTCCGTCCTTGTGGGTCCAGCCGAAACTCCCTGAGGCGACCCTCTGCCTGAAGAGTGTCGTACAGGTAGTAGAAGATGTGGAAGTTCCGCTCGCCGCTGAAAAGAAAGGCAGTAATGGTGAATCGAAGGCTTGTGTGGTGGACGCTGGCAGTTTTATACTTATTTGTAAGGCATGTTTGTAAATGGCAAAGGCGTTAGCATCGTACCACACTTCCAATCCCACTCAGTATTTAAATAAAGCGAAGAATTAAACGAGAATTTAATTGTTCGCCTACTTCTCCAGCGTCGATCCAATATACAACTTGCCACTATCAGCACCGAATGATGTGAGGATGCGCACCTTGCCTCCTGGCTCACCTGGCCTGTCGGACGACCCGGCTCTGTTCCAGCAGGTACACAGAGACCCTGGCTCCGGACACCCTTCCGCCTGTGCCGAACGTCACTTCCAGGAACTTTCCGAAGCGGGACGAGTTGCTGTTGATGCCCGTGGCAGCGTTACCGAATGCCTCCATCACCGGGTTGGCGGCCAGGATACGTTGCTCGATGCCACGCCCTCCGGCCTGGCCTAGTGAGACCAGTTGACGGAGAAGGTGGTTGGCGGACTCGGTCTTTCCGGCCCCACTCTCCCCAGAGATTACCACGCACTGGTGCTGCCTGGAGAGAGATGAGAAGAGAAACGTTAGAAGAGAGATCTAGGACTACGGAGAATCAGTAGCTGTCATTGCTGCACCTACTAAGACATGACGGATGGAGGCACTGCGCCGTCTCACCCAAAGCAAGCATCCAGCTCTTACGCTTTACAAGATCACCGTTTAAAATCATCAACCAACAACAAGAAGCAGCAGTTCAACACTGTAACCTGGCAGTAGACATGGTCATGACCCCAGTGTTTCTAACAACATCCACCAATGTTTCTGACCTCTGATGCAGCATGGCGTGGTAGGCAGCGTCGGCCACACCGTAAATGTGCGGCGGCCCATCCGCCTTCCGAAGGCTGCGGTACAGCCGCTGCTCCTGTGACACGGGAGCACGGCCCAAGGTCAGTTTCACCCGGCACGTCACGGTACGCCGCACGCGGCATTGTTGGAAGCGGGATGGGCTGTCCGTTTTTACCGGTATATCTGTGTGACGCTCGCAGAGTGGCCGTCACGCTAAGGGTAACGCGCATAATAACACCGGCGGTAGATTTAGGGCAGAAAAGCCGAGCTGACATAGGATGAAATGTCACGGGATTGCGATCTAAATACGACACACATCCGACCCGGAATTTTAATGCTGAGTGATGAAAGGCGTGGTATTGTGAGCTAACATCGAGACGAGCGAGACAATTTATGTAGTTTTAGCCTATCGAGACTTGTCAGTCACCGGACAATCAAGTCATCTCCCCGCTTACTCTCATAACCATGGTGTTCTATCAGATGAACATTGTCAGTTCCTCGCAGCACAGCGACCGCACCTTTTCTCCGTAGATGTTGACATCGCTGAATGGGTTGACGGCGATCAGGATGTCGCCGATGTAGGTGTAGATCTGGTCAGCCCTGTAGCGCTGTTGCAGCTGGGTCACGATCACCTCCTCCGTCAGCCGCTCCAGCGAGGCCAGGTCGTCCACGAACATGGGCGCCAGCTTGGACTTGCGTCCAGTCTTGAGGCGACCCTGTTTGGTGGTGGGGTGCGGCCGGCGCACGGTGCCGGTCCCTCCGCCACCCGTCTGACGCCGGGCGACGAGCAGACTGCGGATCGAGCCGCGAATCTGCCGGACACAGAAACGAAAATGATCAATGATCAGTCAGTAAGACGGAACGGGAGGCGCTTCATCGTCTAAAAGATATACTGGAAAGCTTGAGCATATCCCACAACCCTGCGACATTCGTAGAACTCACGGTGTCAATCCGACTTGGCACATTCCTCAGGAGTGCATGGTCCAGCAGTTGACTCATAAACGGCCTCTTCTCAAAGTCCTTGATCAGACACCGACTGATGAAGTCGTTGAAGGCTGCACTCCAGTCGGCCGGCCTCTTCAGAGACGGAGGTGGGTTCCTTGGGATCTGCCAATTCATGGAGAGACGGGAGAACGGGATGGAGATGAGTCGGGAAACCTCCTTAATCAGTGGCACTGTGACATGACAAGGCTTGCTCCTACACCGGAGATACCTCAATGTTTATTCATGAGAATGGAGCGCATCGCGTGGTAAGTACAATATACAAGAATTAGGTCTTCTCACCATGACATCTCTAATAGTAACGCATCAAATCACTTGACTTGTCATTCGAGTTAGTTTCGCCAAATTACCTTATCCGACGGCGCCCGACTGACCTGGAACAGAGCTCGCATGGGGTGCATGTCGGCCAGAGGAGGCTCGGAGTCGGCCAACTCGATGGCGGTAATTCCCAGCGACCAGACATCGCATCGCACGTCGTAGCTGTAGTCGTACTGCTGCTCACAGGCGATCACCTGGCAGATAACGGACAAAGAACGGGGTTAGAGAGGCGCACAGGTGAATAAACATTGGTGTGCTATCGTCTATTTCGTCTCATATCGTCGCACTCGGCCGGTTTGCACCTCCTTTCTAAATAGCCCCGGGGAGGTATGGCAACAAGGAAGCGCTGGCGGCTTAGCATTAACAATTGCCCCGAATACATGAGCAAGTAAATGCGGATCAGGAAGGGATTTTCTTATTCGCTCACCATTGTATTCCGTTTTAACATGCATTTACTCTGCTCATATATTTCCCCGGTCATAGTCGGTAACGGGCGCCCTTACTTCAGGCATCTCATTGAACCTCTTACATATCGGTCACTCCAGTACCATCCCTCTGGAGCCCCTTACCTCCGGCGCCATCCAATAGGGCGTGCCGACGGACGTGTTCCTTCTGCCGAGGGTGGCAGCCAGGTGCGAGGAGACGCCGAAGTCGACCACCTTGACGTTGCCCTCGCCGGTCAGCAGGATGTTGTGACCTTTGACGTCCCGATGCATGCAGTGGTTCTGATGTAGGTGAACCAGGGCCTGAAGGGAGACAGCGGGGATGTAAATGGTGCATAAGGTGTCGTTGCGAATACCTGCTAGTTAGTGTTGCTTCCAATTGCTGAATTTGGGCATACCAGTCAGGTTAAGATTAGATTGTGATGTTGTTTACGGAATAGGAAAAGCATACATTGTTATAGGCGTTATAAGTAGGTATTATTCATTTAAGTTTGAATCGGGACTGCGACTAAGGATGCCAAAAATTATACCAAAGAAATGCATTGAAAATAATGCAGATACTATTGCGAAGCATAGCAGCAATGCCCGAGATAAGCTAGAGGCTTTTGATATAGTCATGTGTAACAAACAAACCGACGTCAAGCAATATCATGTGCTCTGCTGAAGACCACGCTGTCCACTAATAACTAACGACAGGATCGGCGGCGGACAAAGGGACACAATAGGCATGTCGATCTCTCCCGAAATGAGATATTTATCATCCCATCCAGGAAGATGAACTCAATGGGTGGAGACTTCCATTTCACGTCTAGCTAGACGCGTCTAAGTCTTAGACGCGTCTAACTGGACGACGGCTGCGTCTATCTGGCGACAGCTAACTTTAGACGCGTATAGCTTGGAAGTCTCCGTCCAACAGTTAGACGCCAAGTTAGACGCCAACTTGGACGTCTGCTCAGTTAGACGCCAGTTGGACACCAGTGGAAGTCTCCACCCAATATGTCTCTGGCCAAAGAGAGAGTGGCTTCGATGAAAATTTCTGACAGCATCCGATGGAGATGTCTCGTTAAAACCGGTTCCAATGTGTGAGTTCGCTAGTTAGGCCAGCTGAGGCTGGGGTTCAATCACTCAAGCTGAAAGTTTTTTGATGGCGTGTTCAGGTCACGTTAATTCAGCTTAGCGTCATTCGTGAAAATCGTCCACACGAAACTGGCAACTTTCTAGCGGTAGCGACACTCCCCAACGTGACAACGACGAATCCACACTACCGCGACAGGCGTAACAGTATAATGGGACCTCCGTCCAGTTCTCAGATGGGCACACAGTCACCTCACGTAGACATAACTCGGCACCGTCTCTTTCGGGCGCTGTCTGGTCGTCACGGGCCGCGTCCCTGCAGACACCGTCACCTAATTGAGCTCATGCACTGTTTGGTGTAGGTGCCGAGCGTTTTGACGGGTGGTTGACAGAGCGTGTCGACCCAGTGAAGACGATGTGTCCGCCCACCGAGAGACGTGTCGAGACATGAGAGAGAGAGAGAGAGAGAGAGAGAGAGAGAGAGAGAGAGAGAGAGAGGGAGAGAGAGAGAGAGAGAAAGAGAGAGAGAGAGAGAGAGAGAGAGAGAGAGAGAGAGAGAGAGAGAGAGAGAGAGAGAGAGAGAGAGAGAGAGAGAGAAGAGAAGAGGGATGGACAAAGAAAGACAGAGAGATAAACAGAGGCAGAGAGAATAGAGACATTGAAGGAGACAGAGACAGACACAGACACAGATGACAGAGAGGAGGCACAGGGACATTGAAAGAGACAGAGACAGAGACACAGAGAGCTGACCACTTCTCACCTTGATGGTCTCCTTCAGGATGTAGGCGATCTGCATCTCGGTCAGGGTGCTCCCTCCCTTGGCCAGCCACTGGACCAGGTCGGTGACGGAGCCACCGTCACACAGCTGAGGACGCAACATGCCGGAGATGTCAGCCTAATGTGGGGATTCACTCAGCCTAAACTGAGTGAATTGTGGGACGGCTGATAGGTGTTAGGTTCCGAATTGCAAACTTTTCGAGATTATAAATAATTTGGTCAGTTTATGGAATTCAGTCATGATATGTTATAGTTTATTTTATATATAAGTTGCTAAACGTCCTTATTTCTATCCCGATTCTACCATGGAGTCACGGTAAATATCAATTTAGTCTTATGGAGGCGATGAACGTAACGGAAGCGGTGAGCTCGGGTGTCTTGGCATAACTGTCTATTGGCAATCAGCCTGAAGTGGTGCCACTGTTGCCACCACTTCACCAATGGCGTCAAACTTACTCTGTTGTGCTATCATAGTGAATGGCGTCGATTTATACCAACCAAAACCTTGGGAAACAACTCTGTCGTCGAGTGTCATGTCTCAGTACAACAGCGCAGAAAGGGAGCGCCCGAGTGAAAATACACTAACAAATGCGCAAACAAAAACAGTTTTACAGCGGAGTAGCCGTATTAATGCTCTAATTGGTCGTGGCAGTCATTGTCTCAGTAAAATGGAGTGGTAACTTTCACGGCGAGCGGCGCCGACGGAGAGTGGGAAAGCAGTGCCAGCGTCAGGAGCGAGGCAAAAACCGGCCCGGGCTCACTTCTGAAAACGGGCGTCTTATAAACGCCCGGGCTGGAGCTCGACTTTTCACGCTACATAAAGGTGCATATGAACCGCTTTGGTATCGCTTGGTCGATCTTGAAGAGCTTTCATCTGGACGTCGCCCACCAAACAGAGTTGATTGAATGGCAGTGCGGACTGCGGACACAGCAAATAACACCCGTGTCAGTTTCACCACCGCGGCAATTCAAACAAACAAAATTGAAGTGACACGAGGAGATAGCGAAACTCGATTGCCACGGGTGTTTAGGGCGTAGCCCACGCAAATGGTGCCAGCTTGCTTCTATAGAAGCAATATCTACAAGCAATATTGTAGATATATCTACAACTGAGACAAAAGTGTGCGCCACACCCAGGAAAGGAAGTGAGGAAAAGGAAACGAGCGAGCGAATTAAAGGAGACTAGACAGTGCCACCGGAGATGGGACCTCAATTTTTACTTTACGTGCACGTTCATGTATGCATCATTACATCGGACGGCCGATAGCATTAATGGGTTCTCAATTAGGAAGCCTGGATCAAGGCCACGATACAAAGTATTCAGCCGAGTTTATGATCCCAACTGCTCATTTACAGATTGCATCCTTTATCAGACGCATGCACGCACGCGATGCTGACATTGTTGTCGCAGTTGCAGCAGGAAGTGCTCGTCACGCTGCAGCGTCACGGCGGCGCGCACAATTCGTGACGCGGCGGCGGACCGTGACGGTGGAGCTCCGCGACCCACTGCCGCCCGTCCGGCCTCTGCCCTGTCCTCTGTCACTCTGCATTTGACCCTGTCCACTGCCGCCTGTCCGGCCTCTGCCCTGTCCTCTGCCCCTCTGTATCTGACCCTGTCCACTGCCGCCTGTCCGGCCTCTGCCCTGTCCTCTGCCCCTCTGTATCTGACCCTGCCTACTGCCGTTCGACCTGGCCTCTGCCTGCATTCATTTCTTTATATTCTCCTCCAAAACTCTGTTTTTCTCTAGCTCTCGGTTCGCTTTCCGCCCTCTGTCTCTCTTACTCAGCCTGCTATGACCCCGATCTCCACCCTCCTCAACCCTCTATCTCCTCCACTCCTCTGACGTCTTCCACCCTCTGCCCTCCGCCACCCTCTGACCCTGTCCGCACTGACCCTGTCCGCACGGTGTCACCCCGGCCTCTACCTTCCTCCGCCCCTCTACCGACCCTGTCGGCGGCCGTCCGTCACGACCCTGTCCGGTGACGCGTGACGCGTGACGAGGGCGACGAGCCGCGCCGGCACAAAGAAGGCGCTGCGGAGACTCGCGCTGAATAGATCAATGGATAAAAATACCTCACTTTCTGTATCCGTCCTTGCAAATGTTTCAACAAAATACAAGCGCGCAAGTTACCAATTTAACAAACACATCAGTTAAGTACTTCACCTTCACAATAACGTTTTAAAGTAATTGAGTTCCTGAGATGCAACTCAAAATCAACTATCGACTATCGCAACTATCGACTACACATTGATATATTTAGAATAGTGTTTATGCGATGTTCACTGACATCTCCAACTACATAGGTACCTATAACAGAACAGACCATCATTTACCTTTACACAAGTCCGGCATCTGGGTGATATGTCGATCGAAACTATTTACATAGACGCACGTTAACGTTCTCTTTTTCATGAATCGAGCTTAAATTAGCTGTTTCGACACCGCAGCCACACTCGTATTTGCCGACTCTGTTGCGTACTACACGGCCACATATGTTTGAGGCGCGTCGGGTCGCTCAATTGCTGGAAACTACGTCGCTCCAGGCCTTTGGTGTAGTAAATGCCCACGGGAACAAGTAGGATCCATCGCTTCCGCGTCACGTGCGTAAAGTGGAGGGCTGTGGCGTATCAGTTTCGCCACTGCGTGTGACGTAAGCGACAGTCATTCGCATTCGGAGGGGGGGGGCCCCTCCGGATGCCGCGCATTAATCGAGCGTCATTGGGCGTGCCGCGCACCCGGGCATCCCGCCCGGGCAGCGCACCAGTTCACTTTCCCGGCTGGTTGACCAGCGCGCTGCTGTGGTCGGCCGGCGCTCCGCACAGGGCCGCCAGATGGTGGGCAGAGCACACCGGCTGTTCCAGCAGCATGGTTCCTTCCGTAGCCGGCGGCAATAGTGGCGCTCTCCGTACCGGAGGGACAGAGGAATAGACACGCCGGCCAGCTCCTCGGAGCGCCCCGTGTCTCTGATGAGTTATGCAGAAGGAATGGTTGCTGCTTCGTGCTTTAGCAGAATTTTGCAACTTGAAGGATGGCACTGGCGTGGGAAATGTGCCTGTCAGCAGCCTGCACATGCTCGTTAGATGTGTGAGCGGTAGATAATCCCCTCTCGGCCGTGGCGCAAAAATCACGAAATACTGGAGAGCGTGACACAAAAATCACGCCCCTCGCCAGCGGCGTCACGAGCAGAGTCACGGCCGCGTCACGAGGCGCGTCACGGCCGCACCGGGGTAGCTCGGTCACGGGCGGGGCCGTGTCTCTACTGACCCGGTGGTGCCGGGATGACGAGCTACGACCCGCTGGGGTGGAACAGACCGCTGACACCGAGACAGGAGGCTGGCGGGCGGGACGAGTCGACACGCGGCCACAATGGTCCATTGAGGGCACCGCGAGCGGCGGCAGCGGGATCTCGGTCGGTGGCGCACCGCCCCGCCGCGTCTGCCACACTGCGCCAGTGAACGCCGCACTCAGCTCGGATTCTGCGTCACATCTGCCATACATACTGCGCCAGTGCGCGCCGCACTCAGTTCGGATTTCACGAGCTGCTACAGCCGGCCCGGAAGTGCCTCTGCCGGATTGCCGGGGATCGACTGTGGTGCAGAGAGCCATGCAGGAATTCCGCGGCAGCTGGGTGTGACCTTGGCACCTGGCTACATTCCAATCCGATATGGAATTTTAGTGAAATTATGAAATCAATGGAAGACCATGGGAGTGCAGGTTTCCGCTCTACTTTTTAATCTTGAATTGCGAAATAAAAGAAAATTATGCATTTATGTTGTGCCAAAAAGCGATAGAACGTTTGCCCCATAAATGCGTGAAAATGCGCGTATGCCAACCAACGTTCTATAATTAATAATTTCGTAACACCTTCGTTTCTATTTCCCAGACGACAAACGCTGGTCCGAGTGCGACTTGGAATTCCCCAAAGAAAGGCTCCTTAATTGATGGCTGTGACCGGCGGCTCCCATTCGCTGCCGCTGTCCGAGCGATCTGTCTTCCGTGACTGTTGGACCGCTCCATCTGTCCTGAATCCGTGACCGTGTACTCCAGTGTCGGCTCCCACGGGACGCAGAGGACAGTGATGGATCCGGCCTAAAATAACTCCTGACGGAACGGTGCCGTCATTGAAGCTGACACGGCTCCACGGTTCGGTTTGGAGTCACTAAAGAGTTCTTCGAAAGAAATGGGAAAGCTGGGAAAGACGGTATATGAGAAAAGGAACAAAATATAATAGTGTGATGATGTTCCTATCGATAACTGATTGTGTGGTGTCTATGGCTGAAAAGGATCACAGATCGTCGTACGTACTCGTATGTACATTTCTTATCTACAGACGCACATTTTATTGCATTAGTAGGGCTGGATGCTGCGACGACCGCACTCCACAGCCCACGTGTCCACCACTCTTCTGCAGACACGCACGTCCTCCGCAGACCTGGCTCCTCCCTCCCACCTCAGGTTAGTGACCGCCCCTGCCTCCTGCCGGCCGTGGCGGACGTGGCAGAGGAGCAGGTGGTGTCGGACCGGCGACGGCCGTACCTACAGAGCGGCAGATGGGCCCACTAGCGCCGCAAACGGCCACTCACGGACACCGGCGTACCTGGTACAGCCTCAGGATCCGCCTCTGGTTATGTTTCCATGGTCTCAGCACGGCGGAGGGGGGATCGATCGTCGAATTACGGAATGTCGATTGTCGGATTCGTTTCAATAACCGATTCTGTCCAAATCTGCCTGTTGTGACTGGGGCTCAACTGGCTCCTTTTTCACTGGCTCTACTGGCTTTCAGAGGATCCACTGGCTTCTTTTCTATCGCAGAATACGCTGAGAAAACACCATGACTTCTTCTTGGCACCACAGTAGGTCAGTTCACTGGTCACGGACGCCACCACAGTACGGTCTCTTGGTCCCGGGGACCGCTACAGTGCCGTCTCCTGACCATGGCTCATGGTCTCGAGATTCTCAGAACCACTACGATCTCATGGACCAAGACATCGTGCCATAAAACACTTCTCGGTAGCCCAAGAACCAACAAATGTGTGAAAATTCACGCCATGCAGACAAAAGACAATAGACAGGCAACAAGTAAGCCTCATCATGTCAGAAATAGCGGACTTTGGTATTCTCTGAAAACTCTCCGCGCTCTCAGCGTGTTTCCATTTGTATGCCGTCTTTCGTTTCCATTGGCCGCCGAGCAAATTCATATTACTGAAGAAAGCAAACGAAAGAGACATCAATATAAGTCCACAAAGCGGATAGCCTACCTCCATGACGAACCACAGCTGATCGTGGTCGCGGCTTTTGCCCGGCTTGAAGAACATGCCATGGAACTGGGTGATGTTGGGGTGGCGGCACAGGTCCCGCAGCACAAGAAACTCCTCCTCGATCTCCTCGATGTTGTCCGTGATGTCCTCCAAGATTTTGATGGCAACATATTGACCTGTAAGCAATACACAGTATGAACAAATCAAAAATTGAGAATAAATCGCATAATAAAGGAACACTAATTGAAGGCAGCAAACGATGGGAAATGTAAACCATCCGCATGTGAATAGTAGGTACGACCAGTGCCGCTATGTTATGGTTACGTCTTGCATGGGAACTCGCAGTTTGACATTTATGATTCGATAATCTTACATCGCCTTTAAAAGACAGAAAACATGCACTAGAGCACTTCATGGGCCGGATAAATCCGTTATCCACGGATAAATCCGCGGACCGGATAGGATTGGATTCTAAATTTGTTAAAAAAGAACGGATATGGGCGGGCCGGATTTGGGAATTGAAGGTTGAACCCGGATCAAAACGGATCAAAATTTTAACATTCAACATTGAAGTTAAAAATTAACCTAATGTGTTAAGCGGCAGCAGAGGTTTGATTAAAGTACCTAATGGCCGTTTTCACGACGGAATAGCAGGCATCTATTTGATACCAATATAATCCTTTGGTTCCTCAGGAATTTTAGTAGTTCTTTTTAGTAGGTTTACCAGCTTTCGAATGAATGGCGCGTTAGTTTGCTATTTTTCTATTAAATATCACATTGATTTACTTTATCTAAGGATTTATCACTAACATCAACATAAAGCGTAAGCACAATTATAAAATTATGAAATTATTAAATACTAGTACAATAGTTAAAAAAGATACTGAGTTGCCACACTAAAAAAGATATATTCATTTATGGCGCACGACAGACATTTAGAAAGCAGCGCCCTGTTTTATTGCACGCTGCTAGCCGCTTCCATTGGGTTTTGCAGGCCGACGTTATTGGTTGTTACACGTATGATGTCACGCGACTTGTGGCCTATCACGGCTTTTTAATGATCTCCACTAAATGAATGCAACAATGGCCTTTTAAGTTGATATCTGTGCCCTGTGGCCATCTGTCTATGGAGCGACCAATATGAAAGTTAGATGAATTTACCGGGGTTACATGACTATGAGCAAGCAAATGTGTATCAGGAATGGATTCAGGTGGAGAATTGCGCTGGACCATGAGTGCTCGAGCGCTCCCAATTCCACGCCGGTTTGGCTTTGGAGCCGAGACAGACGATGCGGGTCAAGGTCACCGCTGGGGTAACGCTGGATTGGCTGCGCCCGAGCACCCGTAACGCGGCACAATTCTCCATCTATAAGATTTTCCTATTCGCTCAGCATTGTGATACCTAGGTGTTCGTAATAGCAATTACTCTGCTTATGTACTTATCCCCGGTTATTTAAAAGAAGTTTTTGTGAGGGGATATCACGGCTATAGGTAGGTACTCAGTTGCCCTATTCACGACTTTCAAAGAATGCTCCGATATCTAAATACCGCACAGACCTACTGCATTGGTGAATCTGACAAAAGGTCTGTGGAATTACATTCCCCCTCACCACACCCCTAAAAACTCATCCAGTGTCCAAAACCACTTTAATCGACTCGCCAAAAAAAAACACACACACACACACACACACACACACACACACACACACACACACACACACACACACACAAAGCATGGGGCATGTCAGCTCTCAGTTCATTTATCATTGTCTTTACCATGGTTCAATTGCATTGCGCGATTCAAAGCACGTGAGTGCCTATAAAGTATATATGTAGAAAATAATACCTACAGCAGAACATCAAAAATTACAAAGGCTACAATGCTTAAAAAGTAGGTTCATCAAGGAAGCCCATTTTAGCTTGCGTGGTGTTGCCAACCATGCGATTCCAACGCGGGCTATTCACAACGTCTGCAAAGGCACGTTAACAACTGACAAGCCGCCACCGCTGCCACTTATTCATAGATGGTTGATATCGCAGCTTGAGCGTCAGCAGCGCGGCCCACAACGCGTCGGCGCCAGCGCACGCAGCTGTTGGCACTCGGCAGCCGGTGTTGCGACTTAACGGCCGGCCGGCCCCATGAAGGAGAAGCTCTTGCTGAAGCTTTGTGATCGCCTCATAGCCGCCTTGGATGTCATCTTTCTTGGCAGATCCATCCGTTCAGATGGTACGGTGCAGTCTGGATAAAGGACGAAGTCCAACGCCGCTAACCCCGCGACCGCCACCCCAGAACGTGGCCGCAGACCGAACGGGCGTGAGGGCCGTAAGGGCCACCCCGCCATCCGGTAGGTGGCTGAGCAGCCGGGCGCAGCGGCGCCTGGGCGGCGGCCGCGCTGAGATGAAGTCCCAAACCGCCATGTCGCCATCACCATTGCTGCAGCTGTTCCCAACCGCCTCCATTGCCGCCGTTGTCAGGTATTGCCAGCAGCCGCGCCGCGGGATGTCAGAAGCCGCAGCGCCCCTCTCCGCACGTGTGCAGGTGCACTGCGGCCGCCGGGTCCGACGTCCAGGCAGAACATGATATTTCCATGCTGCTCCGACGGTGGGCTGGTCTTGTTTGGGCGTTCCTCCACTGTGACGTCGGTCACGCCTGCCCCGGCCAGGGCGCAGAGGCCGACGTGTCACCATCCGGTTGCAGTCCTCAGTCGGGTCGCAACGTGTACCTCTTCCGCAGCGTGGAGCGCGCTCCCGCTGGGCAGCGATACAGCCAAAAGTAGCATAGCATGCGGGCGGCCAGCGCTGCGCCGGACAGCGGACCCATGCCGGGGGTATGCCGGTCTCGGCCATTAGCGGGGTCGTTGGGGCCGAGGCTGTACATACAGCTGGTGACCGCGTGAGCCGCCAATCGAAGCTCACGGCTTATAAGCTCGACGCGGGCATCACACGCCGTCCCGATGGGAGCTCCACGACGCCGCCGCGAACTCCAGCGCGGCTCGCAGCGCGAAGACCAGTACGGACGGCCGGGGCAAACGGCGTGCGGGAGTCGCAGGCGACGTTCTGCGGACAGAAAGGGTTGGGCATAAGCTGGTCGGCAGGACACTCTTGAGCCGAGCCTTTGATGTAATTACAGATGATCCAGAAGCATGCACAAAAATTCATGACACACTATTCTCATTTATGTATTTGCTACATATGATATGATATACCAGCTCATGATCAGTGACGCATTCTGGGCAATATGTTCTAAAGTGAAGTAACTGAAGTTACAGCTTAAAAGCTTAAAAAAACAGCTTAAAAAAACACACACACACATTCGATAGCTTATGAGAATAACATGTCTTGTGTGCTTAATGCTTTTCACTTTTTTAGAAACAGCAAAAGAGTTGTCAACAAGCCATGTCAACTATCTAAACAATTTTTATGGAAACTGCTCTAGCTAGCTTAAAGTTCCACAACGTTTCCGGAGCACCGTACCCAAACTCAGTTCATGTTACAAGAAAAAACAGTAATAATGCCTCCTAATTTTGAATGAAATATAGGTATGAGTAATTTGATTTGGAAAGCAACAAATTTCCGCACATCATTTTAGCAAAATTACTATTTTCTTCAGCCATCAGGTTACACAAAACTATAGTAAACTTTATGATCTAGTTTACACAAAACCAAAGCCCCGATTTTAACAAATGTAGATAAAATTTAAACAATTTTAAAAAATGTATCGTGGAGAAAATGAAAAGTGTAGATTTGTAAAGCCGGGATATTTCAATTTCACGGATTAGGCACTTAAGAAATATCTTCACCTTTCTTTGAGCCACCAGCCTTCACCCAAGTTTTACACGAATGTAGTGAAGCAGACAATGTGGCAACTCAAAATTGTGATGGTTTGAGATAATTATGACGGTAAAAGAAAAAGCAACACAAGGTTCCTTACCCTCGTTTTTTTCACATGGGTTCAGATGAGGCTTCAACTGTTGCCGACCTGAGGAGCTATAGGGACTTGAGCTTTCCAAAACTCAATTTCTAAGGGCACTGAGCAGTGTTTGGCTTTCACACGAATGCGATAGTAAGTTATATGAAGTTGACAAAGCAAGCAAAGCAAAGCATGATGCCCCGCGCGTCCGCCCGCGACCACGCCCCGCGTCCGACTCCCGACCGCCGCGTGACCCGAGGCGCCCGGCGGTCACGTGATCTACCGGCCGGGACTGCAAACGGCCTTCACCACCATTCTTGTATGACGTCATATCCTACTGAGGTGCTGATTGGTCGGAATTAGATACCTGAAGGTAATTATCTGCCGTAGTTATTTTTGTTTCATTGTTTTGCGTGTTTTCTTATATGAAATGTAATTAAAAAATTTGTCATATTTTAATCACCATTAAAACATAACTGAATAGGTATAAAAGAGAACTCGATATACACTTTCCTTGTTTTTAAGAATTCCGGAATTAGATACCCGAGGGAGCAAAGAGGGAGCAAGTTGCCACGCTGATTTAATACCTCATAGTCGAAAGGTGGGCTACTAGAACCAAAAATTGCTGTGTTTGTAAATAAATAAGTGATTTGAGGGCAATAAATGCCCGGATTTAAACTTCTAAAATTATTTTGAACATAAAATATTTCAGTTTGAGGGATGTTAAGGCCTCTAAGGGTAGGTACTTTTTAGGTATCAAATAAGTTCCTCTGCGAAAGTTCCGTCGTGAAAACGGCCAATAGGCATCATTTTATGACACTCACTTGTCACAAGACTTGTCTTCAAGTGGATAATGTATGCAATGTATGCATGGTTTTTGGAACCATGGTGGTCTATGAGATGTATGGCTGTCTGGTCCCTTAGATTGAATTTGTTAGTCCAGTTTTGGGTGAAACCAGTTATTGGTGAAACGGATTATTACGGATATTTTTTGGACGTTTGGCTGCAATACGGGCATGGGTGGGCCGGATTCTGATATTCAAAGAAAGGCGGATAATGGGCGGATCTGGATATGACTTGCCGGATATGGGCCGGGCCGGATCCTAAAAAGCCTATCGGTGAAGTGCTCTAACATGCACAACTGCTTGTCACCCATGTGAACATTGCCATTATATGTACGACCATCAGCCCTTACAGCTTCATATCTTCCTCTAAAGATTCCCATCAATAACTGTCGGAAAAAAATAGCAAAGCACTTTTACCTTTGGGTTATGATTAATATGTTTTGGGCTTATTTATCATTTGAGGACTGTCCTTAGTCGCACATGTGTGTCAAGATGGAGAGCAGGGCAACTTATAACGATTGTAAAGCTGGTCGTATAGTATCCGGACACAAGAAAGCAAAACATTATAAATCACAGCCAAAATCAAATCATCTCCGCCGGCAGGTGTTGTTAATGGTCGTTAGCGGCGGGTGATGGCGATGCATGGACACAATGTAGGTCACATCATTAGACCTTGCCGTAGGGCAGGGAATGGCAAGTCGGGATTTCCTCTGAAAACAGCCGAAATAATCGAACCGGAACCAACAGTGTGACGACGCAAGATTCCGCTGAACTCTGACATGCTCTGGTAGTAGTAATTTAACCTACAAATTAATTATTTATTTGCGAGCCTTTGACTCATAAATGCCTCATAATCAGACCAATCATTACAAATAAGATAATTCAAACACTTACTGCCGCTGCTCTGACCCAAACACCCCTCTATCGCGATCTGCCGGAGGTCACTGACCGTTTCTGTGAAGATCGCGGGCGGCGTGTACCTCCCCGTAGGTGCCCTCTCCGACCACTGTCTCCAGGAGGAAGCGGTCACCTGGCTCAGGCAGAGCGGTAAAGTCCACGTGCTGGCTCAGACCCGAGTAGGCCTGACCCGGGCTCTGCGGAGAACGGGAGAAGGTCAGGTCAGTTCAGGGATCTATCTGCTATAACACTGCCGAGCTGGCTAGAGTCGAAACAGAGGTCAGTAGTAGTACACGACTGAGCTCGGTACTCGGCATATTTATGTAGCTAGTCAATGGAAAGAAAATGAAGGGGGTGCTATGCATGAGGGTGACTAAAGAAGGTCACTGTCCTTCACCCTATTTTCATTTCTGGTTAGCTGAGACGCGAGCGGAACGTTAGCGGTTCTAGTCGTTTGACAATTAAAAACAACCGTTACATAGCATTAAACCAGTCGGTTACAGGTGAAGATGCCTTTGGTTGGACCGACATTAAATCGACAAATGATTTATGTCAGATTATGCTGCCTAGCTTCAGCCTCTCAACGCAGATAGTTAGATTGTCAAGCTATAAATTGTCACGGCAAGGATTTAAGTTATAAAAATGAGCTGAAAAGAGGCAAGAAGCTGTTATCTGATTTCGATTTTTCCGTTTCGTTCCAGACTTCGAGTGGGATTGTCAAAGTTCGCTGTTCAACCGGCCTGCTCCCCGGCCATATGCACCGTGTGGGGTGGTGTGACCTATAGGCCAGCCGTCATGGGTTCTACTGACCCCAGGACCGGTGTGCCACGTGATTAGCCGTCACAGACCGCCGACCTCATAATCTCTGTGTAGTGTGTGTATCACGGTGTCAGCCGTCACGAACGCCTGACCTCAGGACCGGTAAATGCATACCACGATGGTTAAACGTCTGACTTCAGGACCGGTAAATGGATATCATATAGGTTGTCTGACTTCAGGACCGGTAAACACGTATCACGGTAAACCGTCCGACCCCAAGACCTCTGTACCACTGTGTCAACCGTCACGAACCCACTGACCTTTGGACCAGTTCCGTGGTCACGAGGTCAGTTAGTCGTCACGAGCCTACTGACCCCAGGACCGGTGTGTATCACGGGGTTACCAGACACCGGCTCGAGGTCATACCGCTAACAGGTAACGGGACGCACCGCTGCCGGCCAGCCCGGCACCGGCGTACGACACGCTCCATCGAGCACGGCCAGCGGCTGTGGGGACCCGGGTGAGCAGGTGGGGAATGGTAGAGAGAGGTGGTTGGGTAGCGGTGTGAGTAGTGGGAGAGAAAGGGGAAAGGTGGATGTTTTGTGGCAGAGGTGGAGCTAACGAAGAGGGGGTGGATATAGTGGTAAACGTTGGAGGTGGTAGCGCTTGTCCGGATTCTTTTAGGTCTTCTTTAGCCAGTTTTTGCGAGAACAGCTGCAGTCGACGCGTCGTTGTTTGCTGCCGGCACTGACGAAAGGTGACTAAACATGGCGACAGGCCAGCGGCTGTGCCGTCATGTTCAGCGGCCTAGAGTGTCAGAGACGGCGGCTGGCCCGCGACTGCTGCGCTACACGGCTGTGCGATGAATGACGTCGAGATTCAGGCCGGCCTTTGTGGTGGAAACGCCAACACATATGGCACGAGCTGATATTAGTGTGAGAAAACTGTCACGCCTCGTTATGAGAGGAACGTATGACGATGCTCCGTGGTCCCGTGCAACGAAGGTTGTCTACCCTTCGCTGTAGACAACCTCGAGGTATCTATGAGAATACGACGATTTGGAGCGCCCACCAGTTGTCAACAATATAAACTCGAGGTTTACATTTGCCGTCTTTATGTTTCTTCAATATCCCAACGAAAAAAAAAGCAGCACTACGTTGTTTTGTTATTCGGCTTCTCATGAAATCATGCAAGTTAATGATGGTGAGAGGGTCGATTTAGAGACAAGATGGCTGCTGACCCACCATTAGTTCTCCCGACTTGGTGTTTAGAAAGACACTTGACTGAACCGTTACCGTATATCGCCAGGAAAAACCGGACATTAGCCACCTCGGCGGTGAGATCGCTCCAAGCCTGGCCGGCTAGGCCGTTCGTGCCACGAACCGTGAGAAGTGCCTCCTCGCCTGACCAGGGGAACCGGCGGCGGGCGTACAACGCCTCGTACAGGTCGTCCCACGGCCACTGCCCCGCCCGGCCCGGCCCGAGACGGCCTACTTGTGCACCGGCGTTCAATCTGGAGACGCCGCTATCGTCCCAAGGGCCGACAACAGCGATCGACCCGCGCGGCCGACCGGTCGAGCGGCCGCCGTCTCAGTCCATTTATTGTGCCTCTGTCACGAGGAGCACTCAGTTAGATAAACAGGAGCGATGACTAATGGCCCAGACGCATTGTCAGGTGGAAGCATAAGACACGATTCTGGCCGCACTTTCCAATGACTTTCAATTCAGATAAAATCCAAAGACGTTTGATACAAAGCGCCAGGGAGTGTCGTTTACGACGGATGATTAACCCTCGCCCGCACATGCCATTTTCCCATCCTAGAACGCACATGGGGGGGGGGGGTGGTTGCCACCCCCCCCGCGCCATTTCGTTCCTGTTGGAGATAGAGCTTAGCGGTAAAGACCAAAAAGATTCTTTGGGAAGAGACGAATCCAATGATACCCAGTTTTACCTTCTCAGGTCAGTCATTGACCTTCCAGGTCAGGTCAAACTAAAAAATGATGCTGTTTTGGGTCACCGTTGGATATCAAGTGCGCTGCTTATCAAATACCGATGACGATGCTGTTTTCTGGTGCCAGGCCAGCTAGAACCTCTTTGTCACACTACCCGACCAGAATTTTGCGGCTGAGGTCATTTCAGGTCAAGTTAGGTCAGGGTCAATTATATGTGTTTGTATGTCTGTGTGTGTCTGTGTGTATACTGATGTGTGCACCGATTGTTTTTGGGTCCATATTACATGAAATCATGCTCTGAGAAGCTTTTACCAAAAATGCAGTCAAAAAAATTCAAAAAAAAGTAAATTCAGCCTGCCTAAAACGCAATTATCTTAGATGACCTAGGTTGACCTTGACCCTGACCTTGACCCCTGTACATCGTCGAACAACATGTTCCATGATAGGTGGGAGGTAATACTGGCAAAAAAGGCCGAAATAAGGGTGTCAAAAGCTCGCAAGACCCATGGCAAACGCAAGATGTTGAGAATTGGCCATTTGGGTCATGACATGACCTGAAACACAAGGTCATATCTCCGAAACCAAAAATCACAGAAACTTGAAATTTTCAGTGGACATCAAGAAAGGATAGAGGAGCAGCTATACGAAAAATCAGCGTTCTAGCGCTAAAAATGTTGAGTGCAGAGCAGAAAGACTACCTGGGGGGGGGTGGCAACCACCCCCCCCATGTGCGGGCGAGGGTTATTGGTTTAGCATGAATGTATGGGATGCTATTGATGCTGTTGATAGAAACTTTTCGAATAAATGGCAATGTATCAAGAAGTCGTGCTAATTTTTCTTGGGGGGGGGGGAGGATTGCTTTAATCACAGCACATTAAATTTTCATCACTAAAAACACCTAAGCCTTCCGAATTAAACACTGGATAAAAGAAAAACGTGTTGGTACGGGAGGCTTCCCACGATTTTCGGGCATTCATTCTCGCTGCAGCAATAAAATATAAAATTAGTTTCCGACTGTATATCTCTTTGATAAGGAAATGACATGATGATCTTCTTCATCTGCTTTTTTCTTTTTTTTCTTTTTCATATTTCAAATGATATTATGATGTTTTTATCTGTTGAATTGGGATATTATACCAATATTGGAACCAATAATGGCGGGCTATGTAATGTTATTGGACACAAGGATGGATTATTGGGTAGATGCGACCTCTGTGTCTGAACTCTTCGTCCCGTGTGAATAGGCTCATGGCGGGAACATGACAGTCGCTCAAACGGTCACTTCAGCAAATCACTCCAAGTCCAGTGACCAATCAGTTGCGAATCACAGACACAGCATGGCGCCGGTATAGTGAAATAAGGTGCTTCTAACTGACAATGAAGCATTAGACGAACATTACATGGACGTACTTACATGCATTGCCTGCAAACTATTAGGCACACATTTTGATAATTCAAAGAAATAAAGCCCGAATATGGTTGTTTGTGTGGAGTATCCTGTTGTAGTTGCCGGCTTACCTGTTTTCCCATGGCGATGGCTCTAAATGCTCTTTTCAGTCGGATGTTTTCGGCCGCCGATTTTCAGTTCAAAGGCCCTTTGGTATTCGGCCGTCTTTCCGTCTTCGCTAGTACTCACGCCCACAAGCACTCACACAAGTTTTACTGTCCACAGCACAAATCACACTATCTTCAGTGCAGAACGGTGGCGTACAATCTACGGCGAATCAGCGTCGCTCATTGTCTTCCTCAGGATGGTCTGAAAAAGAAGGTAAGCATAAGTATATAACTCTTGCATAATGTACATTGTACATGGTTGGCTTTAAATTCCCGTGATGTCAGCATACACATGATGTAATTTGAAGGCGGCTAGAAGTCACTCAGTTTATAAAATGTCCGATCTTGAACGTTTCAGGAAAACTGATAAGAGACTGAGCAGCGTAATAAATAAGTTGCAATCCGATGGCATCATTGTTGTTTGTTGACGGGGAACGGTGAAAGAAGCGCTGATGCACTGTGAACGTTTGAATAGGTTGACAGGTGTGTTTTGGACGTGAACTTTCATACATTTATATAAATGTAATCATAATTTACCATAGTTAGGTAAAACGAATCTAGGGCATTTATCGAACTGGTTCCTATGAATGACGTAGATAAACTGACAACGGAAATCACCGATAATTAGAAAACCGCCACGCCTCACCGGCCAGGCAGCCGGTTGGATATCGATTCATCTAAAAACTGTATTTTATCAGCAAAGATGACGAGAGCCCGCTGATTGTTCGAAACAACGTGCTGGCTATCGTAACCACAAATACCACCCGTCCTGTAATGAAACAAATTTCCCCATCTAACTCGCATAGTAACGATACCTTCCAGCACTTTGCTACCTCAAAGATAGAGACAAGCAATGCATATAATAAATCCTCGCATACCTATTCATTTTCCGCACTGTGTCGCGAGTGCCATCCAGTCTCTCTAGTTCTCTGCCATTTTCGGCCTCCACAGCAACGATTTCTCGCCGCTCTATCCGTTCGCAGATGCCGCCGATTTATCCACTGATAAATGGTCAGCCCAAGATGGCAAATGGTTAGACCAAGATGGCGGCTAGCGCAGCTGGTCCGGAGCAGACTAACACGTCTTCTGCGTGCGTCCTACTCCGGCCGCAGCAAGGAGCGACGGCCAGCGTCGGCCAGCCGTGGCAATTAGGCACCATTTCACGGCTCGTGCGTAGTGCCGGTCATGGCGAGCCGACGCGGACGGGATCCAGGTCAGACGCACCGCCTGCCGGTCAGCCGCCGAGCTGTCAGCGGACGAACGGGCTGCTAGACGGGCGGACTGAGGTGCGTTTGTGTAAACTCTCACCCATGTCAGTTAGCAAAGGTGTCAGCCAATGGAGCGGCCTATGAACGGACAGATGAGACTGTCACAGACCCCAGGATCTGCGGAGCTGTCGAAGCGGACCGCTGGATAAAACGAAAGACGAGTCTGTGAACTGCCATATCAGCGACTGTCACGTCAGATGACGGTCCCATCGGACTACTGTCACGGCGCACAGACGCGAGATTCCATGATTAGTGTCAGCCAGTGGAGCGGGCCGCTGAATAGACGGACGGAAACTTCGGAACACGAATCTGCTGAGCTGGTAGAAACGGCTGCGTAACGGACGGATGACACTTCCACATGGACTCTAGAGTCTGCTACAGCGAACATAGGCGGCGGAACGGGGAGGGCACCGGGGTACCGTGCCCCCCTTTGATTTGGGTATTTTAACATTAGCCATCTATGGGCGTTGCATTGAAAGAATGGGACCAAAAGTCGGCAGTGCCCTCTGAAGGTGTTCCGCCGCTACTGACAGCGAAACCCAGTAGAGCTCGAGGGGAGTGAACCTCTGGATGGGCGGAGCTCTCCGCCTAGCGCTGTCAGTCACAAAAGAGTCCAATTCCACTCCGACCAGGGCGTCGGCCGTCGGCACAGCGCCTGGCACGGTATTTGTGTCACCAGTTACCTCTCTGGTGTACCGACATTGCGCCGCGCTAGACTGGGACGCAATAGTGCGCTCCGATGAACAGCTGGGATGGTGAATAATGTCCAACGTGATTCTGCAGAATGCGGTGTGGCTGGCTTCCGTGTGTTGAAATAATGGCATGATTGGAATATTATGAATTGCTCGTGCGTTATTAATGTGGTTACTGGTGACGCTTTGTTGTTTCGAAATAGTCCGTTGTAAGGCACGAGCTAAGATCAAAATATTCCGAAAGCAATAGATTTGCATGCTGGGAACCGCCGTTACCAACACTACAGGTGTCTTGAACTAATGCCTTATACATGCTTTGATCACTTATTTGTAATACGGTCGCTTAAAAACCGCGTTTTTTAACAGTTTTAAACTTTACTGTGTGTTTTCATGAATACAGTTTCACAGCTCTATTTAGAATCAAGAGATTTCGACCGGAAAGGCTCTTAGAAAAATAATCTAGCTTTCACTCTTCAGGTCATTCACTTATAAATATGTCGCCTCCCTTTGTTGTCCTCTCCCCTCCATGGATCTCACTTGTCCACCCTCCTTTTCAGCGGAACTTCAAGGTCCGGCCGGGGCTATTGTTATGAACCAGGACCCGTGACAGGGGCGCTGAACTAAGTCTTCGCCGAGGGGACGCTAAAAGAAACAGACAGACAACTTCCGAACGGGGGCCGCGTGCGCGCAAATCGCATATAAATGAGAGGTGCAAGAATAGAACAATAGACCTTATTAAAAAAATTAAAAGTAAGCAATCAAAAGTAACTATTTAAGTAACAATTAGAAAGGCTAAATAGCCACCGTTACTTTTCTTATGTCGCTATATTATAATCCCCAAACATTTCAAGTCCGTCTGGGCTTTCTGGCGGCCAATCGTTCCGAAAGCTGGCGATTGGTTTGATCTTTCTACCTTTGCCCCTCCCAGCCCTGCGGCCCATTTTCTCTTGGTTAGACCGATGCCTTTCCTGTCTTGTTAGTCACTCACGGAAAATACACTATCGTGAGAGGTGAAAACGGACGAAAACACGACTTTAGAGTGGAATAACTCGATTATCACAAGTCATTGCTCTCACTAACATCGTGGCATTTAATGTTCACGAATCACGGAAAACCTTTGTCTGAAGTCATGGCTATCATTTTACAGAACTACTCTTGACGGAAACGGAAAAAGCCCTGGACATGCGCAACAACCCATGCTATGCAACCACGTATAGATAAAGACTTAATTGATTCGACAAGAGTAAGCTACTGCGGATATTTGTGCTATCAAAGAACGTTGAGACTGGTAGTGTGCAGGCATCCTAATCGCATGTCCAAACGTTAACGCCTAAAATTCATATGTATCGTTATTAACCCATTAACGCCCGTAATTCCCCAGCGAACGCACACGGGTGCCCATTTGCTGAATTGGAGTAAATGGACCCCTAAGAGTACCATGTGAGTTTGGTAAATGTGCGAAATCTAGAAATATCCTTTTTTGAAGTGGTACCTTTTGGTACCACTGGGCGTTGGTGACATCATTTTTTCGCAAAAACATGCATTTTAGCAGCATACAAGATATGTTTGCCAAGAAGACTTTGCAACTCATTCGTGAAAATTAGAATATTAGACAACATACTCATCGGCAACATTATGGCAAACACTCGCCTCTGATGTTTTCCAAGTTGTCAGATTATGACGTCATTACTGACATGCTATGCCTAACTGCCATAAAGATCGATGCTATTATTCATGGTGGTGGGTCGGTCTAGTGAACTGTACTGTTTCAAGCAAGGATGCGGAGTCGATGGATTTTCGGTGACTCTGACTCTGACTCCAATTCCGACTTTCACTTATCACCTCCGACTCCGACTCCGACTCCAGGTATGGCTGTCGACTCTGACCGACTCTAACCCCGACTCCATGTTCGCAGCCCTGGCATTTGCGCGGAGTCGCGGGATTTTCGGTGACTCGAACTCCGGCTCCGGCTTCCACAATCGACTCCGACTTTGACTCCGACCTCGGCTAGAGATATCGACTCCGACTGACTCCGACTCCGACTCCGCAGCCCAGGTTTCAAGGCTTGCAGGGTCGTTTATTTTCCTAAAATGCACAAATATTTCTATACAAATGACAAAACTAACAGTTTTCTGAATGTTCTGAACCAGCAACTACTCTATAATATCTTTCAAAACTATGAAAACAAACTTGAAACCCATAGATCAAGAGCCAGCAGAGTTTGTGGTTACGGTTCATGCACAGCAAGACCCTTCCAAATCTAATTCAGCAACCAAACGAGACAGATCTCCAAAATGGACTTCAACCGGATCGTGCAGTGCTGCTTGCGCCGAGGCACACGCTGCAGCAGTCAACACGCATACCCTGGTCAATATAGGTCTTACTTTTAGCCGTGATGCTTCTCTCCATGTAAGTACGTCTCCGAGCAGAGCGCCACTCGCCACTTGCCACAGATGACTTTAGTGCCAACCACGTACTTTGCAGACGCTTTGCCTTCGTGGTAGGGCCAGCTCTAATCCAGTGTCCGAATCCGTCGCGGTGTAGGTATGCATCCCATTCTCAGGTGTACGTACCACTGACCAAGCAGCAGGTCTGCAGGAACTCGTCTGTCAATACCATCCGCATCAATATTTCCTCCGTAGGTGTATTACCGCACAAACTGCACTGGGATATGACGCCGTTACCCATTTCTTCCTGAACAACAGCAACAGCCTTCCTATTCCTGAACAACAGCAACAGCCTTCCTAAACAACAGGACGATCTCAAAACCGTGCCCCTTCCCCTCCCCCAAGCAAAATTCATTTGGGGCCTTAACCACATGGTTGCTCCACAGGGGTACCCGCAATAATACCAGCGATTATAGGGCAAAGCATCCTATCCAACATCCATGCGTCACGTTAGCAGTGAATGACCAATCAGCAATGAATGCTCCAGCTTCTTTGGTGGCGACGAAGGCGCTCCCCTCTCCGACCTCTTGCCGCAAAGGGCGCATCACCCCTGAGAAACGTTACACAAACGACCTTCAACCTACATAGGCACCCCTTTTTCGCATGAAGACGCCCCATAACTTTCATAGGCGCCCCTCTTTCGCATGTAGGCGCCCCTATGGGCATCAAAAGCGACTCTGTAGACCTTACAGGCGCCCCTCGTTCCCAGTGAGGCGCCCACAGGCGCCTATGGGCTTCACAGGCGCTCCTTCCTCTTTCCATAGGCCTCAGAGGCGTGGCCATCTTTGGGATGCAGGGACCGATCTTTCGTATGGAAGCTCCATTATGGCGTTCAAGGGCGCCCCTTTTGCATGTGGGCGCCTCTACTTATGGGCGTCATGGGCCTCAGAGGCATTCCTATAGGCTTCACAGGTGCCCCTCTTTCGCATGCAGGTGCCCTTATGGGCATCCTCATTTGCATTGAGGCGCCCCTAAAAACTTCATAGGTGCCCTTCTTTCGCATATAGGCGCCCTTATGGCCTCAAAGGCGCCCCTCTTACGCACCCAATTCCCTCGGGCGATGGCGTCCCCTTGAGGGATGGCGCCCCAAATAACAATTTGTCCGCATCACTCCGTTGAGCGTTGTTTCCCCTCTGCAAAGACCGCACACGCATGTAATTGCGAAAAAACGCTTAGCCTACCGCCCAGTGGTACCAAAAGGTACCAACAAAAATTCTGCCCCTAGGAACGCCAGGATTCATGACGAAACATCTGATTTTCTGCTTAACTGCAGCTGCGAGTTCTTCATCTTTATTGTAAACACACTTTGGCTAAAAAAATATTTACAGACAAGCAACCACAAACGTTTTTATCTCCCAACGTCAGCCCATGACTGCGGCGCCTCGAAACACTCCGAGCTTTTCTGCACCTCACACGAAGCTCTTCGTATCAGCACGTTATTTATACCCAACAGCATATCCGGAAAGGAGGTCATTATCCGATGACAAAATCTATCCGGCGAAAGAACGTGTGGTCTCAACGCAGCAAACCAAAATGTGCGTTGGTACCTTTTGGTACCGCTGGGCGTTAATGGGTTAACTGTAGAAAAAGGGATAGATAGACAGAGAGAGAGAGAGAGAGAGAGAGAGAGAGAGAGAGAGAGAGAGAGAGAGAGAGAGAGAGAGAGAGAGAGAGAGAGAGAGAGAGAGAGAGAGAGAGAGAGAGAGAGAGAGAGAGAGAGAAAGAGAGAGAGAGAGAGAGAGAGCAAAAGAAAAAAACAAGTGAGAGATTGAGGGTAAGGGAGAGAGATCACATTTTTTCTAGGATTTGATCCGTTCTGGGCCACTGACTAATGATTAATTTTGTTTGATCTATTTAAAACTAATTTAATATTGATTAGTTTAATATCTATTACATGACAGTTGAAATCCAAGATGATGATATTTCAATTGAAGTAAAAACCAATCAATCAATATTAGCTTACCGTTAACTAAATCCTTTTTTTGCAAAATCATAAAGTGAGAACTTGTTCATTTTTTTTACATCGAATCCATATAAAAGTAAGTTATGTGGTTACCATATTATGTACAGCTAATGAGAATTCACTGCCTTTTTTTGCAAGTTCCAATGTTATGAGTCAGCCCCCACATCCCATTGTCGGTGGATCCACAGGTGTGTCAAATTCCCTACAGACACTTGTGCCGTCGCCGGTCGCAGTCCATTCACACAGGTCAACGGTCTGACGAACAAACGCAAAACAGTGAGCCTGGATAAAATACGAATAAGAAATATAAATTTAACTGAGTTATGGAACTTAACGTCCCTTTTATACTCCGTCTAGAAAACGAAATATAGTCTATAGTTTTACTTATACAAAATATATAATATATATTGAATTTAATGATCTCGCTACGCTAGAATTGTTAAGTTTACATCGATGTTTCACCTTTATCACGGTGAGCATGACTGAGTATGGTTGCAGGCCGTATTAATATTGACCCAAAGCACATCGCCTTAACGGTGTGCACAGCTGAGCGCCGTTTTCCCACCGACCCAAAGGTCTTTCTGACTACATTATCACATGATTACCTTCGTCGGTACTTTAATGAGGATATAAACTGCTAACCACCAGCTTATCCAAGTTTAGGTGAGGCACCGCTGTCTGAGGCTTTTCTCTCACATCATTCCGAGGTCGTTCTCCCATATCATTCCCTCGATCCGGGACGGGGAATACGAGGAACACAGCGCGGCGTTGTGATCACGGGAAACACAGCGGTGTGAGCCGTCTGACTGTCCAGGTACCGTTGGATGCGCCGCACGCCGCGGCCGGTCACGCTCGTAGACCATCCCCAGCTGGCCAGCGGCCGTCTGTCTCTCCCCTTCTGGTCACCGGACGGTGATAGAGACAGAACAGCTCACGAACGGAGGCTGATAACATTCAGATGGTGCCGGAAACACGGCTGGGGCCGCGGGACCCTCGGAGGGGGACTTCAGTCGGGTATGTGTCGGGCGGGACCCTCGGTGGGGAACCCGAGTCGGTGGGGTGGCGCCATGTTCCCCGGCGGGGCAGTGGTGTGGCTCTCCTAGTCAGCACCGGAAAACAGATGATGGGGGAGATAACTGGCCTTCTTTGAACTGGCCTTCGTCGTCAGTCGTGGATGTTTTCTGATCTAGCATGCATATGATACATACAGCGGATAAGTACATGTCGAATGCAATTACATCTCAACTCAGCTTATCTTTAGATCATTTCACGTTGACCACTATACCTATGAAGTTCATAACTGTCTACCAACTATCGCAAACCTGGGAGGAAATATACCCCATTTATCAGTGGATAAAGCCGTCTGATGGCAGATGTTACCTTGACATAGGCAGATATCGCCTTTTTGCTTCATCTAAGTGCACGACTTCGACGACTATCGACACACGATTCCTGACGGTAGTCCCGGTGAGGATAATTACCGCGGTGGGATAAACCGGTCTGGAGAGAACCAGGAGCTTCCGCGGAGGGAGAGAGAAGATAATCCTACTGAATGAGCCGCACAATCCTGTTTTCGGCTCATCATTTCACAGCCTTTGTAGCCATACTGAATATTCCTCTCTTTGTGCTGTCCAGAGATTAGAAAATAGTCGTAAATTCTAACCCAATTCCAGCAATAAGTGGAACTGTGCTAGCATCGTCACAGAAAATGGTGCAAAGGGAGTGTCTCATATAATAGGTCTAAAAAATGACTGGAGCACAAGTGGCAGAGCGCTGGTAATGGCTGTTAGCTGGAAGGCTATTTACCTAACTACCAGTAACACAGTAGGACACAAACGTGAAACACAAATGCATCCTATTTATCATATGTATGATATTATTTTTCACGGCTCCCGATATCGCCGCATTATCATGTCACCGTAAGCATGCCCGGCGGCGTCACTGACCCCTCTGCTCACCTGAATTCAGTGCCGCTGTTCCTCCGGGCCTCTGGCGCACCTCACAGCCCTCCCTCGCTCACACCCTGTCGATCTCACCACCGTACTGTCTGCCACCACCCGGCACACACCTGCCGGTCCACCGGCCCGCCGACCAGAGCGCCCCTGGCGGCCGGAGCGCGAAACTCACCGGCTGAGGGAGCTCGACCGTGACGCCGCGGCGGTCGGTCAGCGGTCACAGGTGAGTGGTCACCGGTCAATGGTCAGTGGTCAGCGGTCAGTGGTCAGTGGTTAACGGTCACAGGTGATCAGTCACTGGCTAGTGGTCAGTGGTCACAGGTGACTGGTGACTAGTCACTGGTCACCGGTCAACGGTCATTTATAACCGATTACAACGATTACCGCTGACCGGTCAACGGCCACAGGTAACTGGTCAACGAACAGTGGTCAATGGTCAGAGGTGGCCGGTCAGTGGTCAGCGATCAGTGGTCAATATAGTCACAGTTCAGTGGTCACAGGTGACCTTTTAGAGACCAATGGTCACTGGTTGCTAAAATGACGTCCTCATGTCAATGATGCTCGCTAGTTGTCGGTGATAACAGGTCAAAGGTCACAGTTCAAAGGTCACAGGTCACTTTCTGTCAGTCACTTGCAGTGTCCAAGGTCGTCATGATGTAGAAGGTGGAGAAACCCACCGGGGCTAATAATCAGGGCAGAAGGCTGCAAGTGATCGGCTGTATTTATATGGGACCCCATACCATCCTCAACCAATTGGGCCCGGGTTAGCTGGTGTTACTGTAAATTGTTATTCTAGATAAGTGCCTAATACGTTTCAACGTTAATTGTCATTTATTGTCCCCTTGGCATGCGGCTATCCTGTATTCTTTATCATTTGGAGTCATTGAATGATTTAAATGAAATTTTATAAACATTAGAGTAGACATTCCTCTACCATTCGTCAACATCTGAGCATTTCGTATTCAATCACCCTAAAATTTGCTTCGATACAAATCACGGACAAACGCTCTTCTCTCTCTCTCTCTCTCTCTCTCTCTCTCTCTCTCTCTCTCTCTCTCTCTCTCTCTCTCTCTCTCTCTCTCTCTCTCTCTCTCTCTCTCTCTCTCTCTCTCTCTCTCTCTCTCTCTCTCTCTCTCTCTCTCTCTCTCTCTCTCTCTCTCTCTCTCTCTCTCTCTCTCTCTCTCTCTCTCTCTCTCTCTCTCTCTCTCTCTCTCTCTCTCTCTCTCTCTCTCTCTCTCTCTCTCTCTTCTCTCTCTCTCTCTCTCTTCTCTCTCTTTTTTTCTCTCTCTCCCCCTCTCCCTCTCCTCTCTCTTTCTCCCTTTCTCTCTTTCTCTCTCTCTCTCTCTCTCTTTCTCTCTCTCTCTCTCTCTCTCTCTCTCTCTCTCTCTCTCTCTCTCTCTCTCTCTCTCTCTCTCTCTCTCTATGACTCCCCTCTACCTCCCCCTCTCCCCTGCCTGTGTGACAGGGCTGAGCTAACATTCCCCGTCCGTCCGGCGTTACGTCACCGCCGCGTCACGGAGCGCCCCGTCACGCAGCTGACGCCGACGCCCCGTGTCACGTGATCCGCCGTGCAGCCGACACTTTATGTCAGGTGATCCGCTGCGCCGCTACGTCTGGTGGCTTATGCCCTGCCTGGGGCCACCTATCATCCCGGTTGGGTCATCGAAGGCCCTCGAGGCTGCTGGATACCGACCACCTGGCACCGGCTTTTTGACAACACTCTAAAGGTAAATTTAAAATCATAAGTTAAAACAGACGAAAAAAATAATGCACGATACAAATAATACATGACTGGACTTTGTCCTGTTCAAATACCAAATGTCAAAACGATGGTTTTGCCGTTGTACATGATAGGCGAATACATTTGTCATTTTGTATTATTTATCCTGATCATCTCTCCTGTCAAAACCTAGTAATTATCCTTCATACACATTGCATACATGATGTATTGGAACAGTGGTGTCATATCTACTAATTGCTATGGCATTGATCTTTCGCGCAAGGCATTGTCCCGACAACTGACCAACAGCGTAAATAATTTGCATCGATCGCCACCTTCCCTGGAAGCCACGCACACGCACTGGTCACTCAGAGTGCCTGTGCGGGCCCTGCGGTCCGCAGTAACTGTAGGCGCACCGGTGTGAGGGACGCTGTGAGACGCTGCTGAGAGCTCCTCCAGAGCGGTCTAAAGATGGCGCGTGGAAGACCAGTGTCGGATCCATCCTCCCCGACCGTTCCAGTCCTGCTGGCCGTGCTGCTGACCGTGTTACAGCTACCCGAGGTCAGCGCCCAGCAGGTCGTGGCGCGCGGCTTCCACCCGGACAGTCCGCCAGACATGGTTGCCTCCGGGTCGGTGATCGAGACCCTCTCTGTCGCCGGCCCGGGCGAGTGCGCCGCGCGAGCGCTCTACCGAAACGCACTCGGCTTCAACCTGCAGCGCGCGCCGGGGCCGGACGGCAAGCGCTCCTGCCAGCCGACCAACGTCATCACCGGCTGCTTCAGCGTCAACCTGGTGGAGCGCGCCGGCTGGGACTACTACCAGGTGGGGCGGCAGGGCCAGGGCCAGCGGGTGCCGCACCGCAGCTACGGCCACACCCTCACCGCCTACGTGTCGGCGCCGGCCAGCTACCCGGCAGAGGTGTCCGCCGACCCCGACTACCGCTGGGGACTGGACTGCAACGGACCGACGACCGTGGCCGAGCGCCAGTGCAGCCGCTACATCCTCACCGGCATCCAGAACGCCGAGACGACCGTCAACGACCTGGACTACGTCCGCTGCTACATGTGAGTCGAGTCCCTATCTATATATTTATGCCATGCGTCTGCTGTTCTCCCTAGACCAGCCCCGACATTGCCGCTCTCAGACCGGCCCGGGCGACCCTGAAGCTACCCCTCTTTATCCCAGACATGTCTCTCGCCCTCCCTCAGCTCACCCCTGACCCTCCGCAGACCAACCGTGCACAATCCCTTCACACCAGTCCTCACATGTATACCTCCTCAGACCAGCCCTCCAGGACGTTGCCTCCTCCCTCCCAGACCAGGTTTGATTACCCCTCGACCAGACCTGACTCTGCCCCGCGCTCGCATACTACCCCTGACGCGTTCCTGTCTCCGCCGCAGGTACGGCACCGAGTTCCGCGTCTCCCAGGAGGTGGCCGCCGTGGTGCCCGTGGAGCTGGACGCCGACACCACCCAGCGGCTCTGCCCGCCGAACCACGTGGTGACCGCTCTCGCCGACCCGGACAGCGCCTGGTTCACCACCACCGACTTCATGAAGTGCAACCTGCTGATGGCCAACTGGCGCGTCAACTACGACAACTGCTTTACCCAGGACCCGCGCAGCTCCGGCGCCGGCCGCACCGGCTGGAGCGACAACTGGAACATCGACACGCCCTACAACCTGGTGTACGGCGTGGTGGGCATCTGGCGCTCCGGCCTGCTCTTCACAGGATTCAAGGCGTGCCGCATGTACCGCGTCGCCTAGGGGGCCGCTGAAGGGCTCCACGGGAGCGCCATTGTCAGCGTCACACCAATCAGTTCACAAACTACGCCCGTGTTTTTCTCGGGGAAGAGTGTGGGTTAATCTAGATTTCATCAGTAGCGTGATAGGATCTCAAACAGTTAGAAGTGCTTACCTAGTTGCACGTCATCTTGTAAGCCGTACATATGTCGCTGCATATTCTTGACTTGGACAAGGCTGTCCATTGTATCAGTTCAAGTTTTTTCCAATCAATTGAATTGCGATGATCATTATTACAAATAAGCATTTGGTTTGTTTCATTATCCCATTCGAAATTAACAGGCAGGCATACATTAAAAATAAAAAACTACGACCCGACAACAAACCGTTGTTCTTATATTTTCCAATAGCACTCGCAGAACAAGCCCGACCTAGTTTTCATGTTGACGACTTTCGCCCTGGGACCAGTGTCATATCCTACATTGGTCAATAAGACATCATCTATGATTTATTTATGCACAGTTGACCCCAACTTACAAGCGCAGCGTAGGTACAAAGCCACCTGCGTTCGGCATGTACGCACATCAGACACATATTTCTCACAACTGTGCATAGGTACATGCCGTCATGCATATTCTATAGAATACAAGCTACATAAAAGGTGAATAAAACGAGTTGGTATGATAATAAGCACACTCCGAACAAAATACAGCAGTAAGAAAACTCGCAAGATAAATTCAGCAAAGCGTTGTAGCATGGAGACGTGTTCGTTCAACTGCAAACTGATGTTCATCAACTAAACGTTTTTGCAAGCTGAATAGGTGCATTCGTTTGGTACCGGCGATGCATCATGGCCCACTATCTATCCGAGCAGATATTTACTTGAACCATTCCCATCACGACGGCCACGTCGGTCGTATGTTCTTTGTCGTATGTGGTAGCTAAAACGTGGCCCAATGCCTCGATGGCGTGACCCAAATCCGACCTATTCGCGCGAAAGGCGTGTTCTGTCATTCATTCAGCGCCAGGGACACTGCTAAAGCCGTGTCACATGCGGAGTTCATATCGTATTGTAGTGCTGGCACAGTTTTCATTGTCATTTTAATGTGTTCTGATTCGGCAACTCATGGTTTGTTAGCCCTGTACTTCTCGTGATACAAAACGCACGTGTATTACAGGCACAAGTGTCGTACAAAGCGGTAGAAATGTCATCAGTCCTGTAAATAAAAAAGACCAACACATCACATTCACCATCCTTGATAGTAATGCCCATCCAGCTCACCCCTAGCGGGTAAATGGGAGAAGATGCTTCAGCAAATAATAATAAATAACAATAGATACAGGAATAACCGTTTGTTGGGACGGATGGCCTGTCTCACCATCGCTCTCCTGTCAAAACAGCATGGACCCGGTCACTCGGTGGCGCATCAGTCGGAAGTCGACTTAAAACAATGTCTCCCCGTTCCCACCCTATCTTTGTATTGGACACCTCTGTAATGATTTAAATAGAACAAAAGGGGAAAATGACTAAAGAAAGGTGAAATAATGGCGCTAGAAATGATATGATTATTGTTAACTTACGTTATCAACAAAAACATCTGCTATTTCCGATTTTGGCCCTATCTCCGTCAA